CCTTCAATCAGGTCGCGCGGCTTTTCCATACGAGAATGCAAGTTTTCCGTAAGACACGAGTGGCGGAAATCGTCTCATGACTCTTCCATGAGCGCGGTACGCCATCCATTTGCTTCGGCTCCGCTCAACTTTCCATCCTTAACTCTTCACTCCGAACTTTCCTCCCTGGTGTTGGGCAAAGAGCCGAATCTCGCGATTCGCCAATTTCGCACGGAATGCATATTCGAGATTTCGCTTATTCTCGATGTGCTTCTTTTGTACTTATCGCGATCTGGCATTGATTAATTGATCTCTTGGCCAGCGCATTTCTTCCTCGAGCATCTCTGAAATGCCCGATGAAATGCTTCCAACGCTTTTCGTTTCTCTTTGCAGTTTTATTGCCATTTAACATCGCAATGAGTATTTCATTACATTTGACATACTTTTTAATCCTTTAATTTGATTCTTTATACTCCTGACAAATTAATTGGCGAAGTTAATGCATTATAATTGATTTATTTAATATTGTATATATAACTTTTCGAAATGATGGAACTGTACCTTTTTCAGATAAATGTTAATGAAAATTCAATTCTTTGGAAGATCCTGTTAAAGAAGCTTTACGTGTTGGATTAAATCTTTTACTTGAGTATCGCGAAGTGAAAATTCGACCCTTGTAGTCGACACTCGGGACGAATATTTCCATAATTTAATTTATATTTGACTTAATCCGCCGGCGTTTCAGATGCATCACAAACTTTACGGGACGTTTCTCGTGGATTAAACGACGAACATACCCGCTTGAATTTTTAAAACTCCGTCTCTCTGTTTCAGAAAACTTTTTTGCATGAGAGCCAATCCTATTTCCAATTCGGAGGATTCATCTTGAAATCTTTTCAACACGTAAATTGTATGCCCGTGGCCGCGATCCCAATTCCGCACATCTGCGCTTTCGTCCTGGCGCTTCAAGATGTGCGATCGATTAATCGGGCGGAAACTTTAATAGCAGACCCCTTTGATCCTCACGGTAATTTTGGCAATTTGTCGTCTTAAGTTTCGGCCTCTCTATGTCTCGTCTCTTCTATCGTATCGAATTACTCGAACAAAATCTCAAGGCTGAAGAGTTTTTCGTACAATATTCATTATTTGCGAAAGTAGAATCGTTAGTATTTTATTTCCAGATATTTATATATATAACTTTTTTATTTGCATTTTTATAATGTTTCTAGACTTCGATTTTCCGATCGAAGACTCACTCTTTCTATTTTTCTTACGTTCATATACGTGAGTATACCTTGCATCACTTGACAGTATCCGTACTATTTGATCTGTTCCTCTTTATGTGAAGCACCACATTGAAAGTCTTGCAATTCTATTCAAATATGGAGTGCCCGCTGCCAACTTTCTTTCTCATGAACTTCTCAAAGATCGTTCCCCGTCTTTTCATGAGCTTCGACAAAATGGACAACTTCGTAATTTCTCTTATTCAAGATTCTAAGATATCTCAAGAAACTTAGAACTTAAACTAAATTATTTCTTTGCAATATTTTCAATACAATTTTTTGAATTTGTATAGCACTTCAAAAATACGTATGTGTTTGTTAGGTCTTCGTAATAAATTTATCAATATACTGTGTATACAATTAATATTAAAATTATGCTGTAGCATGAAATTAATTAATTCATCAGATATCTTTGTCATACTCCAAAATTTGTTGATTGTTAATTCTTTCGGATTGCATTTCAAATTTATTCCCGTAGTTGAAGTTTTTAATTACTAATAACTGATATATTTTGATGCCATTATCGAAATATCATGAATTTTAAATTATTGATTATTGTCTCACTTTTGGCGTTTTGTCGCCGTCGTTGTTATCGTTGATTCATCAATATATGCGGATAACGTTGAATGCGTCTCTTCTTCCTTGGCGCATTTTTCGAGATGTGGGTTGAGTTCCCTCGGCTCCTTTTTTCCGCGTGCTTGCGGAGTCTTGTCCCTAATCACGGGCTTCCATTTCGAGCTCGTTTCTGTGAGCTGCCGAAAATCCGATCTTCCCTTTTTTACAGGCGACTCGACGTCGCCATTCCCGACTTCCTCCTTCTTTCCTTCTGGTTTCTCATGTACAACCTCGATCGTTTGGGGTCGCCAGGAGTCACGTTTGTCCAATGCGATTCTCTTCTGCCAAGCACGCATTTCCCTTCTGGCTTCTTTGACTTCGTTCGCGAATACGTTCGCCAGCGATTCGTCTTCCTCCAACAGGATCTTTCCAACTGACGAATGTTCCGGCAACTTCTGTTCAAGATCGAATAACTTATGTCGTTGAAGGGTGACGTCCCATGAAAATTTCTTCCCCTTCAAAGCGAGTTGAGTTTGTAATTTAGCTTTCCACTTTTCTACAAATCAGAATTTAATGAAAATTACAATATTATAGTATGATTTATGATAATTTATGATAATTTCATCATGATTATTTTACAGATTAATCGAGTGATTTTATTTTAAAAATGTTTATTTGAAAAATAAGTTGTTTATAAAATCAACTACTATTTGCTTATATTAATAATTTTGCATTTTTTTAAGATTTCTGTATTTTATGTCGATTAATACAGCAATACTTATTACAAAGATAATTACGAAAAAATTTGAAAAGTAGCAAGTATGTCTTCTGATTTCACAATTATTTTATTTTATATTATATTATTTTCTTATTGAATAAAAGCTGCAGTACCAAAGCAACGGGGTATTTATTTCTTCTGGTAAATGAAACGTCATAGAACTACAATATTCCCGTGAGACCAATTATGCTGGACACTTCAATGCACCCTCGATGTGGCTAAAACGCCCGGTAGGAGGACAACGAATACCCGCTTTAATGCTCTAATCTAACTCCAAGGTGATTTCATCCTGTCCAATTTCATTCTATCACTATCGTTGATCTTACCTTTATCTCATTTATTTAACATCCAATCTAAGCTTAACCCTTTAGACCCTTCCGATAGAAACCCTTGCAATAATATTTTAACAGTCGCTACCAAGTTACAATCGGAATTCGGATTTCTGTATAAAAGATTATACTTGCTCTCACATTATGTTATTGTTGTATTTATATGCATTACATTTATATGCATTATAAATATTTCTGTTTTATGACAAAAAAATGAATTTAGTTTTTTAAACATCAAATTACTATTCAAAAAGATTTAGAAAATATTTACGAAAATTATAATTTAAAAATTTATTATAATTAATATATTATATTAAATGTATATTATATTAAGAACATTGTTTAAAGATATATTCAAAATATATTCATAAGTTTATACTTATTATATATGTATACTCATACAAATACAAATATAAAATATATTTAACAATATATTTCAACTGATGAATATCGGTATCCGATAATAGCGTTTTAAGAATAAAGGAGAAATATTTTTACAGTAGCAGTCGGAAAGATATTATGCGTCATAGTTGTTGGAAAGACGACAGAGCCATAATGTATCTTTGATGGTATGTAACAAATGATAGTTTAATGGCGCAAGCTCCTGCAAGATCCTGCGATTGTGCAACGAGCGCGTATCCGGTTTAAGAAATCACTAAATTATATAGCACAAGAATACAACAGATGTATATGAGGTGTTGTTTGATAAAATCTTTCTGTCAGCGGTCCTTGCATAAGAAAGAAATTTGCGGGAAATTGGGAGGAAAATATTATATCAATCCCGCAGTTTCTTTGTTCCATCTGTCAAGCTTTTCTTCGAGCTTGCCAACGAATAAAGCAAATGAGAAACAGCTAATAAATTCTCATTGGATTCATGCACGGACGTTTGTTACACGCTCTTTATTAAGAAACGTTGAAAACGCCTCGCCTCGCCTTGCCTCGCTTTGCCGTCTCCAATTACGCCGGCACATCTAAAACAGCCAAAGAGAAACAACAACGAGGTAGATCCCCAAGTTTGGCGCATTAATCTAACTGCACGAGCCGCAATTCGGGCAGACGCATGCGGCGCGCTTTTGAAACCGACCGCAATCGCGACAACGACGTTCTTAATTAAGCTATCCGATTGTGTAGAGCCATAGAGACATCTTCCATGCGTCGCCGGATGAGCGAAATGCGAAATGTCGATGGGAGACAGGCGAGAACACGGACGAATCAGAACAATGAACGTTTATCAATGTTTCCAGCTGACGTGGCGCTTTCACGCGGTTCGATCGCGGTTTTCCGCCGAAACGTTTTTATGAAATTATCTCCTCCCCCCTCCCCCCCCCCCCGCGTTTTTCCGCTTCGCGGCGCTATCAATCTGTCTGCCGCGATATTTCTTGCACCGCGTTGTCACGGTGCTCAAATGTGAAAGAAAATTACATAATGCCGTCATTGCAGCTCAAAGCCGAGAAAGTATCGGATCACGTTGGACTTCGAGCAGAGATCTCGTTATCTTGTCCATCCACGGGGTTCCCGCATAGAAAGGGAAAAAATAGATTGCCTTACCGGCGAAACAACATTTGTGCTGTCGTAAGGAGCGGAAGCTTACCTTCTATGTCTGCGCAACAGATTTCCGGCTTGCAGACTTCGACGGCGCAGACTTTACTTAGAATCTCGCGACGTTTCTTCACTGTCTTTCTCAATTTTACGAACGGCTCTTCTATCTGTGTAACCACTCTTTCTTCAGCTTCTTCCTTGTCAAATTCCATTTCTTGTATCAAGATTCTTGTCTGGGATTTGGGATTCGTGCTCTTTTGTACGACAATTTTGTTCTCTGTCGCTGATTCGTGCAAAACCTTCTTTTTCTTGTGTGACATTTCTTTTGTAAGATGGATCATCCGTTCGATATCAAGATCCTCCAACTTTGAATAATTTGAAAATTCCTAAAAATATTAATTGTAATTTATATAATTATATAGTG